ACTTTGCTTCTTTCGTGATTTTATGTTTTCATATAAAAAATATTCCGACGAAAAAAAAACCCGATACAAACTGTTTACCCGTGATTCAAGTTATGTATATGTTCCGGACTATATGAGTATTTCGACCATACGCGTATGGTCATGACCATATGCGTATACTCATATGGTCGGACCATACGCGTATGGTCAGACCATATGAATATTATACTCGTTTGGTTATTAACGGGCCAGACCATACGAGTATTTAGACCATATAGGTATTTTTCGAATAATTTTATATTTCTTTCAGGAACACACAGCTCATTCTCTGAACAAAAAAACGGCACAGGTTACTATCTGAATTCTTTTATCTTTTACATATTTTCAAATCTGTGTGTATCTGTTATCTTGCATTCGCTAAGAGTCAATTCAAATCGCCTTTAAACTTCCGATATTCGTCCGTAAGTGAAAACAAATGCGTTTGGGGCATGGATTTTTTTTTCTGTTTTTTTATTGTTTAAATTATTATTTCAGAAACACAATTTCTTCTTATTTCTACTTATTTTCATTAAATTGATGTAATCTTGCTTCTATTCATACGATCTTACTGTCATTGTAAGATTGTATGAATCGGAGAAAGAACACATGAACAAATTTACTAAAAACAATAAGAAATTTTTAAGAAATTATAATTCAATAAAAACAAATTTGAACACCAAAAGAAATTATAAAATGAAAAGAAAGAGGATTCAATGACCAAAATGCCTGTGAGTTCAGCAATTTAGGCGTACTTATTCTTTAACAGTTCATTTATATATTTCTTGAAATAATTTCCCAAAGTCGACATATTGCGTTTCGTATGGACAAATCGATAATGACCATGTTAAAATTATTTTACTATATTTCTTGCTTGTAAGTACAATATTCACTCTATTAAATTAATCATGTAAAAATGACTACAATATGATTGAATAAGTCAAAATTTCATTTTTAGAAACTCTTAATTAATGTGACACCTTTTCAACGTTCATCGTGTTAATTGCCCGGACCATACACGTATGGTCGGACCATATATGAGTATATACGAAGATGTTCATGACCATACGCGTATGGTCCAAATACTCATATGGTCCGGAACATATATAATGAATGTGAGCGAGACTCCCATTTGTCAAATTTGTTCATTTAAATAGGAGAAGTCCATGGAACACTTCTTACTCGGATGTTCTGAATATACCTCATTACGAAACAAGTTTTTTGCAGATATCAATGAGTACTTTAACTTCACAGACTTTTACTTCACAGAGCTACTGTCTTACGAAAAAATAAACATATTGCTATAGGTGATTATTTTTATCATGTTGATCCAATTGTTAGTAGACATGTAGAGAGAGTTTAAGAAACAGTTGATAAAGAGAAGTATTGAGAATTTGCTGTTCTAATTTGTCCATAAATATATTGGCATAGGACGGGGCCATCTTTGATCCCATTGCTATTCCATTAACCTGGAGATAGTGTTCACCATGGAATGTGAAGGTATTGCATTTCAATAACAAAGTTTGAAGCTGGACTCAACATTCAGTTGGTGGGTGTAAGGTGCTGCAAGAGTTCCAGGTTTCCCTTCAGGCTTCAATACCATCTTCATGGGGGTTGTTAGTATATAGAGAAGTAACATCAAGCGAGATAATGGTCGTTTCAGGTGGAAGAGGATTCAAGGATTCCATTTTCATAACAATCCAGTGCCCTCGTACGAAATTCGTTGACTAACATCTAGACGGTTTACATATATATATCGAATACATACAAACATTTACAACAACAACATAAAAACACAATAATGCAATTAAACTAAAAATAGAGAAAGCACAGCACAAGTATGACGAAGCAAATTATACATGCTAGCATTACTATACGTCTAGTATATAAAAGAGTAATGTAAAATAAACCCAGCTGAAATAAAATGAAAGCTTATCTACATGCAGCACAGCGACATTCTGAGCCTTTCCATGAATGTATAAGACTCTTGGACTGAGAAAAACTCAGTGTTCTCCGTCCTGAAATGCCCGGTTCGGCAGACTACGCACGATTGTTTTACCTTTGATAAGTCTTGCTAGCTCTATGTTATAAATTATTCTAAAATTTTCAATTGCCTTTGTTCTCATTCTTTTGACTTGCGAAAAAGGCATCTTCGCTTTTTTCTACTAAATTCTCATAGGAGCTAGAAAAGTTCTCATATATAAGAAGGAGTGCTCTTTCTTGTACTGTTTCTGTTTTTGGGGAAAATGGCAAAAGTTGAAATTACTCAAAATGAATGATTGAAAATGGTTAATTTACTCATTTTGTTCAAAACGGTGCCTAAACGTTCAAGGATATTTAGTTGCTGGGATTCTCATGATTGGTTGAAGTGACTCCAAGTTAAAATTAGAGTATTATAATCTGGGCTAAATAATGTATTATATGTCTCTTGATAAAACATATTTAACTTTTTTTTAATTTGAAGTATTACATGACTTTAATCCAATTAAAACTATGATGGTAGTATAAATCATAGATATAAGAAGATGTGGTATGAGTGCCAATGAGACAACTCTCCATCCAAGTCAAAATTTATAAAAGTAAACCAGTATAGGTCAAAGTACGGTCTTCAACACGGAGCCTTGGCTCACACCGCACAGCAAGCTATAAAGGGCCCCAAAAATTACTAGTGCAAAACCATTCAAACGGGAAAACCAACGGTCTAATCTATATAAAAAACGAGAAACACTTATGAACCACATCAACAAACAACTACTACTGAACATCAGATTCCTGACTTAGGACAGGTGCAAACAATTGCAGCGGGTTTAAGCATTTTAATGGTACCAAACCTTCATCCTTATCTGAAACAATAGTGTAACATCACAACATAGAAGGACACACTATAAAATATCAATTGAAATGGCTTAACTCAATCAAAAGACATATTAACACAAGTGAACATACACTGAACGAATACATTTGATCTATGATACAATGTAAATACAAAATCAATAGAATAAGGGATGAATAATTAAAGTAACAGTATTATACCGCTGTGAAATGTTTAACAATTTCAGAAAAACAACAATAACCTTAAACAAAAATCCGCCATTTACAATAATATTATACACAGGTAAATGAAAATAATTTTTATTGTTAGGTATACAGTTTAAAAGGAGAAAGGAAATATTTTTACAAAATAAATAATTTTGATGTTCATAGTTCAAAGAAGTGAAAATTTATAGTAATACCAAACACTTATCAAAGTTGTAATATAGACCAGATATAACCCTGAATAAGTAAACATTAAATAACAAAAAAGCATTACAAATAGTATCAACAGGTCAATACATATATATATTAATTGGCTTCGAGTGGGTTTTCATAATTTCAGTAGAGGCAATTTCTTGGAATGTCTAGACAAAAGGAATGTTCGGTGTCGTTTTATATACTCTACAATGGTATGGATATTTTTTTCGATTTTCCATTATCAATGTATGCTGTGAAAATCATTTTATTACCAAATTATGTTTTTTCCCCACAGTTATTCTTTATTCTTTTGAACCCAGTTATTCTCTTTTATTTACTTTTTTTGCTAATTTTACTCTATTCAGTAAATAAATTTGCCTGGCCTATAACGTCACAGTACCCAAATTGCACTGAGTACCGAAATTGCACCTATTTAGGAAAAATAGCAGCGAAAATCTTACAAGTTTTCATAGGGACTAAACAATTTGTATCAAGTTTTTATTATTTGACATCATGCACGTCTGTCAAATAGGTAAATATATTTAAATATTCACAAAACATTTGCGGTATATATAAACAGATAAAGTATTCACTGGAAAAAGTAAAATCTACGGAAACGTCGCCATGCGACGTCCACAAAAAGTCTTCTTTTAAAAATGAGCAAATAAAATATGTTACGAGCATCCATTTCTTAAGAAATGAATAGTAAGCATGGACAAATGTCAAATTGTTCTAAATATTTGAAAAAATAAAGCAAAACATCTGTTATTCGATCTTTAAGGATGTGAATTTAAGCATGGATGCAATTTGGGTACTCCTCATCACAGAATCAAGGGTCGTTTGGAGGTCGGTTCTGAAACCCATTTTTTTATATGATTCATTATGGATTCAAAATTAAATTGGTGGAACTATTTAGTAAATAAGGATACATCTACAAAATAAACACAGAATGGAAACTTCTGTCTGAATCATAAATAAACGTAGGTGAAAAAAACTGTCAAAATATGTGCAATTTGGGTACCTTCACGTTAGATAATTATTCTCTCTTCTTGTCAACGTATATTTGTTCCGCCTGACAGAAGTTCCACTGGAAACTTTGTTATAAACAATGTCATAATATCTGTTCCTGTTGGAACAAATATTCTATACCATTTATTCTGTTAGGAACATTTACTGTAATATTTATTCCAGTGGAAATAATATTCCAGAATATTGTTTCCATTTGGAACTTATATTATGAAGGAACTTCTATTCCGTGACATTCTGTCACAGCAGAGACATATAATACAATTGTATTATATGTCTCTGGTCACAGTAAACCCCATCAAGACCCTCGTATATTAGTTTTCATAGGAAATTACATGTCCAAACTAAAGGATAAGCACTCTGTGCCCACTCCCACATTGAACGGGTGGAAAATCAAATTCACCGTATATATAAGACGTAGTGTTAATCCAAATATACTGTCACGACTGTAACACGATTCTTGCACATGACTGTAACACCGATTTACACAGTTACAAGTGTTACTGTCACTTTCAACTGACGTAGACTGTACCGTTGTTATCTGTGTACTTGGAAACATGAGTACAATTTTCTTTTCAATCCATTTTAAAATAACAGAAAGGTAACTAAGTGAATACCATATTCAAAAGTGTATTGTTCGTGCAAGAACATTTCGTTTCCATCCAAAAACATGAGAATTGATATAGGACTATTTCATACGCAATCCGGAAGTCGTATTAATTTCAGCATTGTGGCTATGTTGTTCGGTCAAAATTTGACAAACTCAGGTGCCCGGTTAGCAAATTTGTACTTAACATACGTTATTTAGAAGATAATATTTACAAACAGTTATATTTGATGACTATATAAGTTAAAGTTACGTATATATCACATTTGGCACAGGATATACATGGCTAAACTGGTTGCCGTATGTCGAACGGACGACTATCAATTTGAACGGAGACAGCTCCCATTGACAGTCGATGACAATTTGAAGGTGAGGTTTGTCAAACTGAAAAGAAACCAGTCCCATGGAAATGATAAAATCGTGCAAATCATTAACGAAGGTCACGAAAATTAATTGAATTGCTTCGTACATTCAAAGAGGTGATTTTGAAAAAAGGGAAAATGGGAGACACATATTTGACAGGTTGGGCTCAAGTCAGGAAAACTGGGGTATTCACTGTTTTCAGGGAACACCCCAGTTTTCTGGTGTTAAAAAACCCCAGTGAACAGGGACTTCTTTTTTCCTTGTCAATTTATGGTATGAAATCTACAAAAGCGCACCTTCTACATGTGATAACAATGTTATATGATAGCAAGTGTTTTTATAAGTTCAAAAATCAAGCTAATTTCAAGTCTTATTTGATGCTCAACTCACAACAAAACAATTCCTTTGTTCACCAATTCATACCTTGATCATCAATTATGAGAAGACAAAAAGATAAGTTAATCACTTAGGCATTTAAATTCAATGAATAGAAAATTTCAATAGAAGTGAACATAATTCAGTTATGATCAGTTACACCTGGAGCATGCAGCTTGATGAACTGATTCCTAAACAAAAGATTTGTATGTTTTTGAGTTCTAGAAAAAACAAGGCTTCACTTATTCATGTTTTGTTGTTCCTGAGATACTTAAAGTATTTACAAATACTACTGATACAGTTAAAACATGCGCTTTTGTAAATTTCATGCCATGAATTGAAATAGAAAAGAAAGTCCCTATAAACTGGGGTTTTTGAACACCAGAAAACTGGGACGGTCCCTGAAAACAGGGAATACCCCACTTTTCCTGACTTGAGCCCAACCTGTTTGACATTTTGAAAAGTAGGTCAAACTTCTACCTATCTAAGTTCTTTTCACTATTAATGTATAATTATTGTGAAAATATATTAATGAGGAACACTACTGATTAGCATTGAAAATAAAAAAAGGTAACAAAATGCGATATCATATCCAGATCAATATTTATGATAATGCTCAATGTAAACAACACTGCTTATTTTTTCATGAGTACAGTTTAGGATATGAAAGTAGAATATTGACCTTTTCAAGAGAACCGGGTCCGTTCACCCAAAATCTTGTTCGCCCCTTTCACATTCGCACCCCACACGTTCGCGCCCTGGGTCTGTTCGTATCCTTTTTATAGGTTTTGTGTTGAATACATTTTTAATCGTGTTTAAGTAAATGTATTGCTATAAATAAGTTTTTTATATTGTTTCTTCAAAATAAAGTAATATTCTTAAAATGTATTGTTTCCTTTAGTGTTTTATTAATTATTTTGACCAAGGATTTGTATAGTATATGAAATGAATCATGAACATGATGAATAAAAGATTGTCATGAAGACTAAGGCAAAGTTCATTCATCTAAGACTTGTATTAAAAAGAAAGGCGGAAGATACATGTACCAAATCTTCTTTGATTTTATTCATACCAAGCTAACTACATGTTGTATTTACATCAAAGCTAATTATAACAACAATCAGATTTTCAAACACAGAACAATAATACCAAATTTGGCTTTGTAAAAACCAATTAACAGTAATCATACCTACATGTAATTAACACTTAATAATTGATCATCAAATCACAAAAAAAAAATTTCATTTAAAAATTCCTGAATTTTTATAAATGAAAATTTAAATATTTTGATAAATACATCTAAAAAATATCTAATAATTCAACTAGTATTTGAATAAAAATAGGGTGTGAACAAACCAAGGGGGCGAACGTGTATTGGGAGCGAACAGACCCTATACCTTTAACAATTAACTCGTATCAGAAATATTGTCATTTTATAAACTGTAAATTATGAAATTATGAAAAGCTGTGACAGTATCAGATTCAGGGATTTCCATTGAAGAAAAATTAACCATGGAGGAACGTTATATTGTAACTAGGACAAAACCCTGTACATACATGTACATTGTGATTGAAATTATTTCACTCCTTCATATATTTCATTGGAAGGAATAGTGAATAGACTGATATATATTGTTTATTATATTAATTTCATTATAGAATAACAAATATTTTCGTTAATTATGATTTGTAACAACTCCAATGTTAAGCAGTCAAAGGTATAACTTAAATAAGTTATTAGAGAAAAATAACATACAATTGTTATTATTGACTAAAAAAATCCCAAAACTGGGATAACTTACAGTATGTATGTTACATGTTCGAAAATGGCAGTATACATCCTTTGTTTTGTTAAAATGTAAACAAGTTCTATTGATATTATTATTGTCTATATGCATACTAAACTTTAGAAAGATATAGTTTGCTAATCATACATATTTAATCTGTGTTATTACAAATAAATATACCTGTTATAACTAAAGGGTGTTATTACAGCTACTCTACATCAAAGCCTTTGCTCAGACATCTATCATGCTTAATCACAATGTATTTTAATTTATTGTAATAAATACCTTGTGTAGGGCTCACACAACAGGTAACTGGGGTAAAGAAGTCTCTTTCCTGTCCGCGACTGTGAAAAGCGATATCTAGTTGCCCTGGTTTCAAATAGTCACTTGCAGTCACTTTCTTCATCTGCAATTTACAATTTTTACCAAGGTGATGAAACAGCAAGTTTTCATTTACAGTCAAACCTGAGTAAACCAGACCCTGAATAAACCGGTTTCCTGTCCATTCTGGCCGAAAATTGAAGTCCCATTTTTTTCCCTTCAAAGTCTTTGTAAAAATACCCTTTGTAAACCGGACCCTGTGTATTCCGAATTCCGGTCTAATTATGCAATCCCAATATTCTTAATTACATCAATCATTACCTGTCAAAACCGGTTTGTTTAACTAATTTAAAATGATAACTGTATTGATCGATATGCAATCAAAACATAATTGTTTATGCAAGATGTTTTTTTAGGATAATCAATGAGCAAGGTGTTAAACCGTGAACTTACAGTAGTGAGCTGTAATATTGAAACACTATAAAAGTTTTAATTTAAAAAAACCCCGAATATATCTCCGATAGAACTTACGTTGTAACTTTGATGATTTTTTAAAATTGCGGAGTAAGAAATTTACATCGTGTTTTCGAAATGCTGGGTTCCTTCTTGTGAACCCTGAAACCAATAGCCTTGATAATGAAGAAGACCCGGATGACGACAATCCATTGTTATCGTGCACTGTACGACAATGTTAAGATCGTGATGAAATTTCATTTGATAAAATTCTGGCTTTTTAATCGGCTATACCAACATAGGAAATGAACGATGGAAGTAAAAGGAAACTCTTGTGTAACAATTCAAACAACGCAAGGATTCTGATGCAAATGAAAACAATGAACTCAAAGTAAAAGTGAAACTGACAAGTCGGAGACTGATGCTACCGAGGTCGATTTGACATAGGAGGATATGTAAAAAAGGTTAAAACATAATTTTTTGAATTCGGAGAACAACCAATTTCTAAAATTTCTAAAGGCAATGAATACGAAGACTCAAAACAACGATTGTGCTTAGTTACATGTATTACGGTATTCAGTTTACAATTTACAATCAGACAAAACTTTTACATGAAAAATATCTGATGTCACAAGTCATTAATTTCCGGTCAAAATGGAAACCTGAATAAACCGGCTCACTTTCCAAACCGGCCCTTTTTCATAGTCCCATAGCCGGCCGGTTTATACAGGTTTTACTGTATTAGTAAAGAAATTCAAAGACATATACGATTTATTTTTGAAGAAAAGATGTGACAGTATTGACTTTACAGATTGGTCATACCTTTTTTCAAAGAAACAACTTTTATGTTTTATGAAGTATTTTCTTTCACTTCCTGTACTTGTTACTGGAGAGCGTATATCAAAACATTCTGATTTTCGGCAAAATAAGTTTGTAACTTCATTAGAATGAGATGAAAATTGCCTTTAGTTAATGTTTCATATAAAATTAAGAAGATGTGGTCAATGAGACAACTCTCCACAAGAGACCAAATGACACAGAAATAAACAACTATAGGTCACCGTACGGCCTTCAACAATGAGAAAAACTCATACCGCATAGTCAGTTATGAAAGGCCCTGAAATGACAAATGTAAAACATTTCAAATGAGAAAAACTAACGGCCTAATCTATGTACAATATAATGTCAGAACGAAAAACAAATATGATACACAGCAACAAATGACAACCACTGAATTACAGGCTCCTGACTTCATGCATTTATTGTATTAAAAGCATCATTTTCCTTTCCAAATCGCTTGTCAATTATTGTTTATTTACATAAATTCTTCTTTTTCCACTGTTGAAATAAGAACCACGGATTGGAGGCTGGATTCATCGGAAGCGGATTAGCCATATTCTTGCGATAATTACTACAGACACATAAATGGAACAGCTGACAGAAGAAAAATGACCCCAAAATTGAAAATTACGCATTCCACATGCATTGAAAAGTAAAATAACAAAAATACCGAACTCCAAGGAAAATTCAAATCGGAAAGTCCCTTATCAATTGGAAAAATCAAAAGCTCAGACACATCAAACGAATGGAAAACAACTGTCATATTTGTGACTTGGTACAGGCATTTCCTCATAATAGAAAATGGTGGATTAAACCTGGTTTTAACAGACTTTTGGTTAGATCTCCATGCTAAATGTATATATTTCCATGTACATTGTAAATGCATTGTTTCAATTTATTGATTAAAGTTGCTTAACTTTTTTTAATTTATATATATCTTTTAAATGAGATACAATGAATTTCATAAACATGATTAACAAAATGGTTTTTTTTATTGAATTTTAATTGATATATAGGATACTTTCTTTTCCTTTTTGCTATAAACAAGTTCTTTTAGTGCGAGATATTTAGCTGGTTGTTTCTGACAAGACATGCAAGAGGAAAAAATATAATTGTGTAATTATAAATGATTATTTAGCAGTTACTTTAATTGTATTATTCTCAGGTATGAATTGAACAATATAAAAAACTAATTAAATAAATAGGATACATATGGCTCATTAAATTATGGTAAAAATCAAACATTTATAGTAGTGCTGAAACTCTTCTCTTTTAAGTCTCACTGCTGCTCCCTATCAGTTTCAAAAAGAGAAGTCACTTCTCCCAGTCCCAGTTCATTGTCTTATGTTCATATTGCTTGTTTTTTTTTCAGATGGTTGTCCAGTTTAGTGACAACTGTGTTGATTGTGAACATGTAAGAGGAATCAAACAAAAGGAACTGGAACATTTTGTTCAGAGATTTAGTCGACTCACAAAAGATGAAGTGGCTGTTGAGATGATGGTCACTAGTAAAGACATTATGAATCTTCTAACACATATGGTTCCCTGTGTTGGTTGTAGGAGAAGGTATTGAAGCTAATACATGAATTTTATAAGCTCCGCCATGTGAGCTTTTGTCATCGCTTGGCATCTGTTGTCTGTTAACTTTTACAAAAATCCTCTCTGAAAATACCGAGCCAGATTTGAACAAACTTGACCACAATCATTGGGGTATCTTGTTAAAAAAATTGTCTGATGACCTGGCCTCCGAACCGACATGGCTGTAAATAGAACATAGGGGTGCAATGCGAGTTTTGTCTATTATTTTGAAAACGGCTTTAAATAGAGAAAATCTGACAAGCAAAAAATAATAAATATGTTGAAGACTTTTAATTACACTTTGTATAGGAGTTATTGCCCTTTAATGACAAATTTTACCAATTTTTATCATTTTTATAATTTTGCGGTCGTATATTGGAATGACGTCGGCGTCGTCGGTGTCGTCCGAAGACACATTGGTTTTCGCACTCCAACTTAAGTTTAAGTGAATGGATCTCTATAAAATTTTACCATAAGGTTCAATACCACAAAAGGAAGGTGGGGATTGATTTTGGGGGTTATGGTACCAACAGTTAAGGAATTAGGGGCCAAAAGGGGCAAAAAATAAGCATTTTTATAGGGCCGCAAAAAAATTTTTGTGGTCGTATATTGGTATGACGTTGGCGTTGTCGTCGTAGTCCAAAGACACATTAGTTTTCTCACTCTAACTTTAGTTTAAGTGAATGGATCTCAATGAAATTTTACCATAAGGTTCAATACCACAAAAGGAAGGTGGGGATTGATTTTGGGGGTTATGGTACCCACAGTTAAGGAATTAGGGGCCAAAAATAAGCATTTTTGTAACTTCCAGACATAACTTGTGTGTAAGTGTATGGATCTCTCTGACATTGTACCACAAGGTTCCATATCAGAAAGGGAATGCTGGGATTGATTTTGGGGGTAATTGCCTCCAAATTTAAGGAATTAGGGGCCAAAAAGGGGCAAAAAAACAGGCATTTTTGTAGTTTCATGACAATTACATGTGTGTAAGTGTATGGATCTCTCTGACATTGTATCACAAGGTTCCATATTTCAAAGGGAATGCTGGGATTGATTTTGGGGATAATTGCCTCCAAATTTTAGGAATTAGGGGCAAAAAAGGGGCAAAAAATAATCATTTTTCTAGTTTCATGACAATAACTTGTGTGTAAGTGTATGGATCTTTATGAAATTGTACTACACGGTTCCATATCACAAAGGGAAAGCTGGAATAGAGTTTGGGGGTAATTGCCCAAAAAGTTTAGGAATAAGGGGCCAAAAATAAGCATTTTTCTACGTTTCCAGACAATAACTTGTGTTCAAATGTATGGATCTCTCTGAAATTTTACTGCAAGGTACCATACCACAAAGGGAAGGCTGGGATTGATTTTGGGGGTAATTCCCTCAAAATTTTAGTAATTAGGGGCCATAAAAGGGCAAAAAAACAAGCATTTTTCTAGTTTCAGGACAATAACTTGTGTGTAAGTGTATGGATCTTTATGAAATTGTACTGCAAGGTTCCATATCACAAAGGGAAAGCTGGGTTTGAGTTTGGGGGTAATTGCCCTAAACGTTTAGGAATTTGGGGCCAAAAAACAAGCATTTTTCTAGTTTCCAGACAATAACACAATAACTTGTGTTCAAGTAGATATAAGAAGATGTGGTATGAGTGCCAATGAGACAACTCTCCATCCAAGTAAAAATTTATAAAAGTAAACCATTATAGGTCACAGAGTATGGATCTCTCTGAAATTGTACTGCAAGGTACCATACCACAAAGGGAAAGCTGGGATTGAGTTTGGGGGTGATGAATCATAAGGGGGTTCAAAAAATTGGGGGGGGGGATTTTTTTTTCCTTTTTTTTCTTTAAAATTTTCCATTTTAAATTGGTTATTTCTGATTTATATATAAAAGCAAATAATAATGATATGGTTTGAATAGGTAAATTAAAAATTTTTAAGTTCTTAGACCACTTTCATTCTGTGTGAGAAACCTATGCTGTGTCAAATATTTAATTACAATCCAAATTCAGAGCTGTATCAAGCTTGAATGTTGTGTCCATACTTGCCCCAACTGTTCAGGGTTCGACCTCTGCGGTCGTATCAAGCTGCGCCCCAGCGGAGCATTTTATTGTAACTTCCAGACATAACTTGTGTGTTAGTGTATGGATCTCTCTGACATTGTACCATAAGGTTCCATATCACAAAGGGAATGCTGGGATTGATTTTGGGGGTAATTGCCTCCAAATTTTAGGAATTAGGGGCCAAAAAGGGGCAAAAAACAAGCATTTTTCTAGTTTCATGACAATAACTTGTGTGTAAGTGTATGGATCTCTCTGACATTGTACCACAAGGTTCCATATCACAAAGGGAAAGCTGGGATTGATTTTGGGGGTAATTGCCTCCAAATTTTAGGAATTAGGGGCCAAAAACAAGCATTTTTCTAGTTTCATGACCATAACTTGTGTGTACACGTATGGATCTTTCTGAAATTGTACTACAAGCTTCCATATCACAAAGGGAAAGCTGGAATTGCGTTTGGGGGTAATTGCCCTAAACATTTATGAATAAGGGGCCAAAAATAAGCATTTTTCTAGTTTCCAGACAATAACTTGTGTTCAAGTGTATGGATCTCTCTGAAATTGTACTGCAAGGTACCATACCACAAAGGGAAGGCTGGGATTGATTTTGGGGTAATTCCCTCAAAATTTGAGAAATTAAGGGGCCATAAAGGGGCAAAAAAACAAGCATTTTTCTAGATTCAGGACAATAACTTGTGTGTAAGTGTATGGATCTTTATGAAATTGTACTGCAAGGTTCTATATCACAAAGGGAAAGCTGGGTTTGAGTTTGGGGGTAATTGCCCTAAACGTTTAGGAATTTGGGGCCAAAAAGGGGCCAAAAAACAAGCATTTTTCTAGTTTCCAGACAATAACTTGTGTTCAAGTGTATGGATCTCTGAAATTTTACTGCAAGGTACCATACCACAAAGAGAAGGCTGGGATTGAGTTTGGGGGTGATGACCTCCAAATTTTAGGAATTAGGGGCCAAAAAGGGGCAAAAAACAAGCATTTTTCTAGTTTCATGACAATAACTTGTGTGTAAGTGTATGGATCTCTCTGACATTGTACCACAAGGTTCCATATCACAAAGGGAAAGCTGGGATTGATTTTGGGGGTAATTGCCTCCAAATTTTAGGAATTAGGGGCCAAAAACAAGCATTTTTCTAGTTTCATGACCATAACTTGTGTGTACACTTATGGATCTTTCTGAAATTGTACTACAAGCTTCCATATCACAAAGGGAAAGCTGGAATTGCGTTTGGGGGTAATTGCCCTAAACATTTATGAATAAGGGGCCAAAAATAAGCATTTTTCTAGTTTCCAGACAATAACTTGTGTTCAAGTGTATGGATCTCTCTGAAATTGTACTGCAAGGTACCATACCACAAAGGGAAGGCTGGGATTGATTTTGGGGTAATTCCCTCAAAATTTGAGAAATTAAGGGGCCATAAAGGGGCAAAAAAACAAGCATTTTTCTAGATTCAGGACAATAACTTGTGTGTAAGTGTATGGATCTTTATGAAATTGTACTGCAAGGTTCTATATCACAAAGGGAAAGCTGGGTTTGAGTTTGGGGGTAATTGCCCTAAACGTTTAGGAATTTGGGGCCAAAAAGGGGCCAAAAAACAAGCATTTTTCTAGTTTCCAGACAATAACTTGTGTTCAAGTGTATGGATCTCTGAAATTTTACTGCAAGGTACCATACCACAAAGAGAAGGCTGGGATTGAGTTTGGGGGTGATGAATCATAAGGGGTTCAAAAAATTTGGGAGGGGGATTTTTTTTTCCTTTTTTTTCTTTAAAATTTTCCATTTTAAATTGGTTATTTCTGATTTATATATAAAAGCAAATAATAATGATATGGTTTGAATAGGTAAATTAAAATTTTTTAAGTTCTTTGACCACATTCATTCTGTGTGAGAAACCTATGCTGTGTCAAATATTTAATTACAATCAAAATTCAGAGCTGTATCAAGCTTGAATGTTGTGTCCATACTTGCCCCAACTGTTCAGGGTTCGACCTCTGCGGTCGTATCAAGCTGCGCCCCAGAGGAGCATTTTATTGTATATTATCTTGAAAATTATGATAGACATGATAGATAAAGAGAAACTTTACACATGTTACAAGCAAAAATGATCAAGAGACAAGATCTACAATTTAGTCAACAAGGTTGAAAATCATCAGATGACTACTAAGGGCTGTTCCAGAAAATACTATGTCCCCCCCCCCCCCAGGGAAGGCAATGTTCTTATTACGCCCCTGCTGTAGTGGAGGTGGCATTAAGTTTTACCCTTGTCTGTCTGTAAGTACGTACGTCCCAAAGTTGGTTTCCGTTCTCTAACTTTAGTCTGCCTCAACCAAATGTTATGAAACTTATACACAATGCTTATTATCACAAAAAAAAAAAGATCAGGTTTGAATTTTGGTGGCATCACTTTTAACCGTTCTAGAGTTATGCCATTTTACAAATGGAAAAATTGCTGAATTTTTCGTTTCCGTTCTTTAACTTTAGTTTGCCTCAACCAAATGTTATGAAATGTATACACAATGCTTATTACCACAAAATACAGATCAAGTTTGAATTTTGGTGGTGTCACTTTATCCGTTCTAGAGTGATGCTCCTTTATAAATGGAAAAATTGCAAACATTTTTTTTCTTCTAAAGTATTTTTTAAAATTGGAGTTATCTTCCTTTGTTCATGATTATAGTTGAATGCCCCTTTATAAATCGAAAGACTAAACATTATGAAACCTATACACAATATTCATTACCACAAAACTAAGATAAAGTACAAATTTTTTGTTTCCATTTTCTAACTTTAGTTTGCCTCAACCAAATGTTATGAAACTTATACACAATGCTTATTACTACATAATACAGATTAAGTACGAAATTTGATGGCAACACTTTTACCATTCTTGAGTTATTTCCCTTTATAAACATAAAAATAGCTGAATTTTTCGTTTCTGTTCTCTACCTTTAGTTTGTCTCAACCAAATGTTTTAAATCTTATACACAACCGTTCTAGACAATCAGGGGTACTACTTGTACAAGTAATTTTTATTTACTTGAAGAAGTAATTATAATATACTTATATAAGTAAATTTGTAGGATACTTATACAAGTGTATTTTATTTACTTGTATAAGTAAATAATTTTTTGGCCTAGTTATGTCCCTTAGACATTCAGATTTTTTTACTTATACAAGTAAAGAAGTCATCCTATCTTCTTTTCTTGAATTCTTAGAACTTCTTTGCTCTAACAGAATTTTGAATTGTTTGTCCTTTGCAGATGTCTTTACTATTCATGATCATTTAAGTGTAATTTCATGGACAATGAAAATCTCATTTGTCTGTTATCTTAAGCTTTAGAACACTGCTCATTTACAAGCCCCCAAGGAGCAATTTTTGAAGGCCTTGCGCAAATACTTAAGATCTTTGCTCAATCAGTTTCTTTGTTGAATTAATGAGATGAAACATTGAACTCTTATCAAAAATTATGAGCTAACCTGAGAAAAATTGTTAAAGGCATGATTTTACATCTCAAAACTTGAGAATTTTTATGGGATTGTAAAAAAAATTTTTTAATACAAGTAAATTTTTTAGAAAATTAAGGGGAGATTATTCAGACAATATAATTAACTTGTATAAGTATATTTTATTTACTTCTTCAAGTAAATAAAGACTACTTGTACAAGTAGTACCCCTGACTGCTAGAGTTATGCGTGTTTACAAATAGAAAAATTGCTGAATTTTTAGATTCTGTTCTCTACTTAAGTTAGCCTCAACCAAATGTTATGAGACTTACACACAATGCTTATTACCACAAAACTCAGATCAAGTTCAAATTTCGTTAGCGCCACTTTTACTGTTCTTCAGTTATGTCCCTTTATAACTATAAGATATGCAAGCGGGGGCATCATCTGTGTTCACATGTGGACACTATACACATTTTTTATTAAAGTTATTACAATTCCTTTTTAGCTCACCGGGGCCGCGAAGCCCCATGTGAGCTTATGCCATCACTTGGCGTCCATCGTCGTCTGTCGTCGTAAACTATTTAAAAAATCTTCTCCTCTGAAACTACAGGGGACTTACTTAAATGAGTGATTTTCTAAATCACTGATTCAAGTAACATTATGTCCATAAAGGTTAGAAGTAAGAGTTGTCTTTCTTAAATAATCATCTATTTAAGTAGTACAAATTAATCACTAGACTAAGTGATTTAATTTTATTGTAGCTTTAAATATAGAATACTAATGATCCAGGGACTAATTATGTTGCTAAAATTATCAGAACCAACATCTGTGTTGCTAGGATGACCGTGTCATGTCAGGTGATGACCTTGTACTAAATCTAGGATAATGACATAAAAATCACTTGTTTAAGTATCATACCTTAATTTCCTTCCAAAAAATCACTTCTTTAAGTATCATTATTTTAATAACCCCCCCCACTAATTTCAACACCCCTGAACAGTGAAATTTTGATTGCGAACAGTAGAATTTTATTACATAATCTATAAGATGAAACCTTGAAATTTACAGGAAAAATACTCCCACTACTCAGAAAAATCTGTTTAGAAAGTATCAGTTCATCATGTTAAGCCATTTTTATAGCATTTTTTCAACTAAAATAGAATTTGCAGCTAAATGATTGCATCAAAGGCATAAACCTTGCTGCTTAAAAGAAGCAAAAAGTTCATTTTTTTCAATTTTACTAATGAAAAGATATTATCTAAACCTATGTGTTTAAAATTTTGGTAAAACTACAAAATCACAATTTGTGACAAAACTTTGAATTTGCTACTTAAATTAGTGATTTAAAAATCACTTATTTCAATAAGTCCCCTGACTGCTTAGGGTATCTAGTTTATAAATTGTATCCGAAGTTTTGATCCATCGACAAACATGGCTGCCATGGCTAAAAATAGAACATAGGGGTCAAATGCAGGTTTTGGCCTATATCTCAAAAACTAAAGCTTTTAGAGCAAATCTGACATGGGGTAAAAATTGGTCAATTGGTCAAGATCTATCAGCTCTGAAATTTTCAGACGAATCGAACAACCCATTGTTTGGTTGCTGTCACCGAATTGGTAGTTTTAACAAAATTTTGCAGTTTTTTTTGTTATTATTTTGAATATTATTATAGATATATATAAACTGTAAGCAGCAATAATGTTCAGCTAAGTAAGATCTACAAAAAAGTTCATTGACCATAATTGTCAATTGACCCCTTAAGGAGTTATTGCCCTTTAAAGACAATTTTACACAATTTGTTCATCAAGTTTGCTAACATTTAAAAATCTTCTCCTCTGAAATACATATTTAAGCAAGATATACATCCAAACCTTGAAAATACTGAAGATATCAGGATTGTTTGTGTTGCTAACATAAGAATTTCCGTCAAAATGTCTGTCAATTTTCTTATGATAGCAACTTTTTAGCTCACCTGGGCCGAAGGGCCAAGTGAGCTTTTCTCATCACTTGGCGTCCGTCGTCCGTCGTCCGTCGTCGTCCGGCGTCGTCCGTCGTCGGCGTTAACTTTTTACATTTTGAACTTCTTCTAGAGAACCACTGAATGGAATGAAACCAAACATGGCATGAATGTTCCTTATGAGGTGCTGACCAAGTGTTGTTACTTTGTAGCCGATCCATCATCCAAGATGGCCGCCAGCGGGGGACTAAGTTTAACATAGGACCCTATGGGAAATGCATACAAATGACTTCTTTTAGAGAACCACTGAATGGAATAAAACATAACATGGCATGAATGTTCCTTATGAGGTGCTCACCAAGTGTTGTTACTTTGTAGCCGATCCATCATCCAAGATGGCCGCCAGCGGGGGACTTAGTTTAACATAGGACCCTATGGGAAATGCATACAAATGACTTCTTTTAGAGAACCACTGAATGGAATAAAACCAAACATGGCATGAATGTTCCTTATGAGGTGTTGACCATGTGTTGTTACTTTGTAGCCGATCCATCATCTAAGATGGCTGCCATCGGGGAACTTAGTTTAACATAGGACCCTATGGGAAATACATACAAATGTCTTCTTTTAGAGAACCACTGAATGGAATGAAACCAAACATGGCATGAATGTTCCTTATGAGGTGCTGACCAAGTGTTGTTACTTTGTAGCCGATCCATCATCCAAGATGGCTGCCAGCGGGGGACTTAGTTTAACATAGGACCCTATGGGAAATACATACAAATGTCTTCTTTTAGAGTACCACTGAATGGAACGAAACCAAACATGGCATGAATGTTCCTTATGAAGTGCTGACCAAGTGTTGCTACTTTGTTGCCGATTTACTGTTCAAGATGGCCACCAGGATATTTTATTAAATAACGGGACCAATATTAATCAAAATTTGGCCTCAATCATTATTTGGGTATCTGTTATGATTTTTATCTATCTTTACATGATTTCTAAAACCAAAGTAGAGTCAGGTGAGCGACACAGGCTCTTGAGAGCCTCTAGTTTTAAGGTGTCCTTTATTTAAAAAATATAATGTGAATAGATCTATTTTTTGTCAAAAAGTTTTTACTCATATAAGTATAACATGTATTCCAAAACAGAACTTCATTGGTGTTGATTTTGTCAAACATAGTTTTGGGAATTTTTCAACTTTCTTATTTGGAATCTACCTAAAGGAGATAGATAGAAAATGAAAATGAAAAAATTATCA